AGGAACCAATTGTGTTGTAAGTCTGAGGACTGCCTGTACCTACCTGGCTTCACTTAGCACTCAGCGCATTTCATTATAGCGCTCAGCGTAGGGGTGGGGAGAAGCAGTGGCGTCAGCATGAGTGGTGAGTGGCAGCCGGCGGGAGCCCAGGGAGGCGTGGCAGGAGCCTGGGGTCTGCTCCGGCACATGGTGCTGGAGTGGGCGAGGAGGAACAGTAACAGCAAGAAGGGGCGGGTGAGTAGCTGGGAAATCTAAGCTTGGAGCCCAGGCCAGTGGGACTCAGGGCAAGGTGGCAGGAGTGCAGGGTCTGCTCCAGCACGTGGTGCTGGAGTGGCCAGTGGGTGGGGAGGAGCAGCCGTGGCAGTGAGAAGGGGCAGGTGGGCAGCAGGAGCGCAGGGCCCAAGGCGAGGGCCAACAGGAGTGCAGGGTCTGGGCCAGTACAAGCCAAGCCCACAGAGCTCCCCCACTCCCACCCATGCCTCCTGCAGCAATCTGGCAGTGGCGACTCATCCCAGTGGCGGGTGCCCTGGAAGGAGTCCCCACTGGGCAAAGTGGGGTGCAGATGGGTGGGTGGCCCCACTGCTTACCCCGTGCCAGAGCCGTGCTGCCTTCCCACCATAAATCCCTGGGCAGGCGGGTCCTGGACTCAGGTCCCACGGGCAGGGTGGCTGGGGCTGTGCACAGGTGCACTGGTGGCCAGTGGGTGCAGGCTGGCAGGGGCCATCGCGGTGGGGAAACAATGAGGCTGGGAGGAGCTGATGCCTTCCTTGGCAAAGCCCACATGGTGCCTTGCTGGGAGCAGCCCGGCCAGGGTGGGGAGGAGCACAGGGCCCAGGGTGGGGCTGCAGGAGTGGGGGGTCTGGGCCAGTAGGTGGTGTGAAATTAATTATCTTTATTTACATTAAATCCAATGGGGAAATGGGTTTCGCTTAACACTGTTTTGCTTAGTGCTTGGTTTTTCCGGAACCAATTAAGAGCGCTAAGCGGGGGTTGCCGCAAAGATAATTATTTACAAACCAGATTACTTTAGGGCTAGAGAAGTTTAAAAATAAAGCTCTGTAAAGAAAGAGGATCTGTACAGCCTTCCCTGTGATTTTTTCTCACATATGAGTCAGTCTTCCAATATCTGAGCAACAAGTTATTTGGTAAAGAGCATGCACACGTTCCATGCATGATAAGTTCTCTTTTGCCTTGTGTCCTGCAAAAACTCCTCAATGTGATGAAAATTTAATTTGAAATTTTTAACTTGAGAGGAAGTATTTCTATTCATTTCTGTTTCTGGGAGCTGGTTTTACATTGTTCTACCTTGATGCTTAGTCTGGCTCTCACATCAGAGGATACTATCAGGCCCAAATGGGACCCAAGGAAAAGAGGCAAAGCAAATATTTTTTCTTGGTAAAAGTGTGTGTTCCAGTACAGCAGCATTTGCACACATGCTTGCTTTCAAACCCAGGAATGGAGCTATTCACATGTGAAATTTTAAGCATATGCCTCATTGTTTGGAGGGTCAGAGCTTTTATGGACTCCAAATGAAATACGAATTTTGTTATGTACTGTTTTAAAAAGATGATGCCCAGGGTACCCTATTCTCAGGGCTCAGCTGTTTCAGGTGTTCTCAGAGTTCCTCAGAGCGTAAACACTGCACCTACCTCAGGAGTCGAAGCTCTGCAAGGAGAGTTGGGTTTTGTTGTGCCTTCTCTGGTGTGGGCTGAGACGCCTGCTCATGTTCAAGTCGCAGCCTCTGGATCTCCTGCAAAATTTCTCTTGGGGAGGAAGGCAAGTAAAAGACTAAAGGTCAATATATTTTCATAAACCCTTCCAACATCCAGTCAGAATGAGATAAAGAGTTCTGAACTGGTTAGGATTTTATGGCTAGGCTTACAATCAGATCAAACATCTCAGCTTTAGCGAAACTCTCATCACTGGGTCAGGTTCTGAAGTTCTTTTCAAAATAGAAAAAAGGCACTACTGAGAGAGAGTATTTTTATAAGATCTTTACAAACCAGACTAAAAACTGAATTGCAGATGCTCTCTGTAGAAAGCAGGTATAAAGATCCATGTTTAAATAAAGAAATTTCACTCCTGGTTCCTCACACAGACGTTTGATGAGCCACATGAAATTAAGGGAAACTAGAATAATATCTGCTCTGTCTTCTACGTGAATCAGGCACAAACCTTTTGACCTTTCTTTTAAATGCTTTTAATTTAACTATGGATCTGAGAGAGGGCAACTCTTCAGGGGAATGTAGTTTTAATAGGATTTACTATAATTGATTCAATGATATAAGAGTATTATTAAAGAGAGGCTGCACAGCTTCACGGCAAAAGAATGAAGCAGTGTAACTTAGTGATAGTAGTGGCTCTTTTTTATACACTGGTGGACATCAAATACATAAAAAGCTGACTTGAGCGATTAAGACAATTTAACTGTGGAGGTAGTGGACTTGTGATAAAGGCACAGCGATAAAGGCACTCCAGTAATTTTATGGTAGGAAAGTATTTATTTTTGGCCAAGCCTTATCTAACTAATGGAAAAACAGAATGGAGACAGATTACATGGTCATACACAGCTTAGATATTGTGACATCATATCTGACGCTCACGGCGAGACCTTCAGCGGGTATGAACTGGTGCAGTTCCACTGATACAATGAAGCTAGGATGAGTTACATTAGTGGGCATCTGGCCTCTTATTCTAGATGCCTGCCTCCCAACCTCAGTTATGTCTATTTAAAGACCTAATTTCTTGCTAATATTTTTTTTTATAATTGCTGCTTCTTTTATTTGTCAGTCATAGATTATGTTCTAGAGCTCTTCAATTTTCCATTCCAGAAAGAGAAGCAGGCCACCCTCATATTATTAAAACTGACCAACTTGTACCCCTTTTTGTTGTATTTTTGCTGAGAATCTGAGAAGACTTTCTTTCTTTTTTTTGGAACAAGAAGGGAGTTCTGTTTTAACCCTTAGGGAGGGCAACTCAAATGGTAAAAGAACCAACTGAAACACAGTATTTAGTAACTTACAGGCTGATTACAGCTCTCTATGATTTCGTCACAGGCATGATAACTTGCCTGTTCTCTGTATTTTTAATATGTATCATGCAGAAGCTTGAAGAAATGTTAAAAACATTATGCAGCTATAAAAAAATGTTCTTTCTGGATACTTACCTGTTCTTATTTTCAAGCTCTGCAATCAGCTGTCTTTGTTGCTTGTTTGCATCAATGGTGAAAGAGATATCTGATGCACCCCTTTGCTGACCTTGCTGTTGCTGTAAAGGAGATTGGGACTGGCTGCATTATTAAAACAACACTTCATTTGTTTGCACCTAATGGTGTGGAGAGGCATTCACTAGTAGTGCTACAGGCTAAGTACAGACAGTCAAAAAAGCCCAAGGCTGAATCAGTTCAATCTTTGCAGGTTAGTTTAAGCTGTGTAGATTGAAGCGATAAGCAAGTGAACAGACATTCACTTTTGATTCCAGAAATGCAGCCACATGCCTGTGCCTGCTGTGGCCCAGGCCAGAAGTCAGGGGTGCACTGGAGCATACTTCCCTGCTCAGCTGGAGGCCAGCTTGGGCCACAGCTAGCCCAGCCACCCTGTGACGGTGGGGGAGGGCAGGTTTTGCAGGAGCGGTGCAAAGCCTCTTGAGATGCTGGGGGACTGAGTTAACTTGCCTCCGGAGGGGATCTGGGACAGAAGTGCAATAAAGTGATTTAACCTAAATCAGTTAAGTCTGATAGTACACTCATCCAGGTTTATCTTAAACAGGTTTCAACCATTTTGAAAGTAGTTTATGTGCGCTGAACTTCTCTTGTGTTACAAAGTTGAACTGGTTTCCAATCACTTATATTGGTTGATGTGTAGTTTCTGTCCCTAGCCACAAAGTTATAGCATTTTGAGGGCATAGAGGCATTCCAATCCCTGGGCTGGAGAACTACACTCACCTCAAAGGTGATCTCTCCAGCCAGGGGATGGATAGGGGGCTTTTTCTTGGGTTGCCCTGCCTCCAGGATTTCAATCACTGACAGCCTGCCTTCTCCCTTTCAATAAGCAGTTGTTGAAAAGCAGGAATAGCCAAAGGCAGCCCCACCCCACCCCTCTTGTGGTAGCAGGCATGAGAGAAACAGCTTTCCTCACCTTCGTCATCCCTCACAGTGCCAGACAACTGTGCATCTGCAGCAGGCATGACAGAGCTACCCTTGAGGGATTTGCCACCACCACTTTAAGAGCCAGGCAGCAGAAGACCACAGCAGGGCTCCCTGATAGCTTGCAGCTAAGCTAATCAGAGGACTGGCCAGTCTCCTCCTCTTCCTCCTTCTTGGAGTGGGGGGAGGGAGAGCAGAAGACTGTATGATGCTGAGGGTCCTAGGGACCTCTATAGCACTACAAGTAACTGTATAGGTGTTACTTGAAAGTGGTACAACACTAAGAAGTTCTTCTCCAAAAGAGGTACAATTTTGTAGTACTTTCATCATTTTTGTAGTGCTACTGTGGGTGCTGACAGACATGCAGCTCCTGCTGTAACTCATGGCACTTCACAGGAAGCGCCATGAGTTACAGCAAACTGCCCCCACCCAACTCAACTCCCCCTGCCTCCCCCCACCCCCAGCTCTGGTGCTATCTTTAGGATGAGAGTGGGGAAGGGAAAGGAGGGAGTTCAGTTTGGGGTTTGCCCATCCTGTGCTGGGGGTGGGGGAGGTGGATTGGAGTCCCCCCATTGTATAATTAGGGTTAATTTGTCATGCAATTGGGCACTTTTAAAGCACTCTGCTGCCAGGCACTTCTGTCAGGGCACGCCTGCAGAGAGCTTTACTCAGCACCTTAATTTCTCT